TATGAGTTGATAGTCAGAACCAGAGCACTAGTTAGCCTGAGGGTAATATTTCCCCACAACTAAGGCCAGACCTTTCTGTGTACTCTTATACCCCATGACCTGTGTATTACGAAGCTATCCAGTGTGGCTGATAGAAACAGGAATTATTAGCAGTCTTGTATGAATGCTAGCACTTTTACCTCTAATCCTTTTGGATAGTTCTTTCCCCTCACAGATCCTTGGTATCTTCTCTTCATGCGGCCCTCTCCTCTCTGGTACTCTGCTAACCACCTTAGACTCCCTATACTCTCTTCTAAATCTCAATTCAGGCAGTCCCCTGGGATCCCTTTGTGTTCTCCCTCTTGGCCATATGGCCTGGAAACTTGCTACGGAGTAAGCTGTGACAACTGTAGGTCTTCACTCATTTCTCATCTCTTAAGAGTCTCTGTCCTTTGTTTCTTGATGTCCATTAATTTGAAAACTTATTTCATTTATTTTGCCTGTTTTATTTTTGGCTGTTTGGGGTTGGAAAGTTAATATTCACTTGTGCATCTAAATTTATGAGTGTCTATTATATGTGGCATGGCCTGTTTAAGGTATGTGGGGATATGATGATGAACAAGACAGCTCATGCTCTCACAGCTTAATTTTATTGCAGGAATACAGATAATGTACTAATGAATGAGGTTCCTTTGAGCATTATTACATCCACATGAGGTAGCCTGGCAGATTATTGCCACTTCCATTTTACAGATGAAGAAACTGAGGTTCTCCATGGTGAAATAACTATCCCCAGGTTACATAATTGGTAAGTGGAAGAATCAGGAATGAAACCCTTATCTTCTGATGTCTAGGCCATCCATCTTTCACACTGCAGCACTGTCACCACTGCAGTGACCCAGCATAGCAGCTGTGTTACATGCACTCACAGAGAAGGCTTTCTCTGATGTTTTCTTCATTGAGGAGGTTTTCTGTGATATTATTTTTGTTCTTCTATACCTTTTTTCTTACAGTTTGATCTTATCTCCTAGATTAGATTCAGATCATTGGGGTTTCATTTTTCTATTAATGTGTATCCCTATAGGATTCTCTCTAGTAATAGCTGGTGAACGGGTAAATGAATGATACATTTGATGGCTTAGAAAGAGGATGGAGGACAATCTCAGTTAATTAAGGACTGGGTTCTGCTCTTGATGGGATGATGCAGTCTCACAAGTTTATTCACACAGCCTAATGCAGAAGACAGGTCAGTAAACTTTCATTTTGAAATGCACTCACAAGCCAAAAAATCCTTGAACAAAGACTGGCATATGTAATATTAATACATAACCTTACCCTTTTTCACGGTGCTTTTCCTGGTTACTTCTCATAACTGGCCTCCTCCCACCTGCCCCCCAACTTTTGTCTTTAGCCAAAGATGATATTTAAGGTGGTGGCTTGGGCCATTTGAAGGAGTTACTCAGTTTTCCTGAGCATCTCCTATGTATACAGGAGGTATCCATGTTATTAAATTTGTGTTTATTTTTCTCCTGTTAATCTTTCTATTATAAGGGCATCTCAGCCAAGAATCTAGAAAGATAGAGGAAAAATTATTTTGCCTTTCTCACACTGAGAACTCCCATTAACTAAAGAATCCACATTATTGGGATAAGGGCTCAAGCTTCAAGTCTCTGATTGTCAATATACGTACATCCGGAGGAGCAGCAGCAGATTCAGCCCGCAGAGATTTCATTCTAGACTTTCTTCCACTTTGAGCACGTCTATAAATAGGTAAAAAGAGAGACGGTAAGTACATCTCACTTGCCATTTAAACCAAAATTTTCTGTAAATCAGTAAGGTTCAAATTAGGAAAAATAGTTTATTTTCTTAATATATAGCATCATCAATCTTTGGAGTGTCACTTTTCCTACAGAAAAATGTCATTCTGCATCATATCTATAAAATAAACCATCTGGACCTTCATTACAATGAAGTTTGCTGCAGGTCTCAATGCCTCTTTTTGACAGTGGTGAGCAAAGTAAGCTTAAAAAAAAAAAAGCCAAGGTATATCAGTAAATGTTCTTAATTTTTAAACCAACTGCAATTGCAAAAATGTCTTCAGGCCAAATTCAATTTTGTTTCCTGTAATTAGAGAAATTCTCCGTTCTCTGGCTCATTAACAATTTATTTCTATCAAAATTAGAATTTCGATGCCCAAGGTGAGAATGCAGCTTCCTGGCACACTCCGTTCTAAATACTAGCTTACTTTTCACCAAATAAGTAGGAGATGCGAGAAAGAGAAAGCAAGAGAGACAGGAAGGAGGGAGAGAGAGAAAATATGAATGAATGAGAACATGTTTTTAATATTTAAATTACTTTTGAAGCCGTAAAAATTTCATAACTGATAAATATGAAAATGTATTTTGTGTTCAAGAGTCTTTCTTTTGCAGGACAAAGAGTGAAAAGCCCCTGAAAGGGAACAGAGTTTGCCACTCAAAAATATGCCTCTCTGGGATATTATTTTAAGCTGATAAAATATTTTTAAGAAAAGACTAGAGAAGAAACTCTGATCTTCCTCCTAATTCCCTGAAAGAATTTAAACAGAAGATCTGCTGCTCCAGGAAGGGGACTATCAGTATAGATAACTATAGTTTAACATGAACTGAAATAGACAGGGAGGAACCTAGCAAGGCTCATTTGATCAAAGTCCTCTCTGTGTCACGTTGTTAAAGATGGCCCAGCAAACATTTGTTTATCAAACATTTGCTTTTCCATCTCTATGTGAATTGCCTTCCTCTCCCTTTTAAGTCCCAAACCACAACCCCCCTTTCTCCCTAGCTCAAGATGTCAGATAAGCCTCAACTGCATGATTTGTCCTCAAGCCCCATGTTCTTATGGACCCCCGCCATGTACATACGTATTTAAATTTGGTCATTTTCTCCTGTTAATCTGTCTTATGTCATTTGAACTATTTGGCCAGCCAGAATAACTAAGATGGGAAGGGAGAAATTTTTCTCCTCCTGCACATCCCTGTTGCACTACAAAATGAGAAACTGGAGTCTGCTAACAAATATGATAAAAAGGAAGACATAAGCATAGCAACACAGTGACAAAATGGTATCTGTGAAACCCTCCCAATTCATTCAGAATATAGAAAATTAACAGAATAACTGGGTTATTCTGCATAGTTTCCAGAAGGGAATACTGATCCAATGGAGAGAAATTTTCCATTCTCTGTATATCACAGGATCCAGTCAAAAAATACATTAAACTTACATCATTTATTTATAATCGTAGACAATTAAGAAGAGTTTCAAAAGATATTTTGGATATCAAAATATACATTTAAGAAGTATTGATTTAAATAGCATAAAACAACCAGTAAATGAGTTAATTCAGTTATTTGTGTGTATGATGGTGCTATAAAATATCTTTATATGTATTTCTTACTGGTTTGACTTTCAACACCAAGTGACCGAGATATAAACAGAGTTACTTATAAGTTTGCCCCAATATCATTTAAAAATAAAATTCCTAAAAGATTATCATCTTTAATTTTTTTCAGTCTTTGACTAAATTTATAAGCCAGTTTAGTCTAAGAGAACATTTCCTTAGTAAGTGTTGATACTTCTTCAAGGTTATTCTTCACTTTCTGTTCTTTATATTATCACCTTTGCAGACCACTGTGGACAAAACCAGCAGTAACCTTAGAGAGATCTGATCATAAATTCCTAACTGGGCAGGTCATGGTGGGTAGTCATGCCCCATGCATATAACTTCTTTAGTAAGAGGTTAATCTTTGCCTTAAGCAAGCCCTGTCCATTGTTTCTGTGCATTTAGGTTAATATACCTTTGAAATGCCTTTTTCAGATCCCTTGGAAGCTTTAACCACCTTAGAGAGAGCACACAATCTTGTTAAGTATCCTGTAATCCAATCCGTGCCTTGCTTCCTCCCACCTTCATTTTATCTTCCTTATGTTCCCTCCTTAATTCCAAACACATAAAAGAAACTGCAAACTGTCATTCTCGGAAGTATTTTTCTCTGTTGAGATCTTGCTTCCAGGTGTAGCCTCTGTTTGGTTCAAAGAAACTCTAAGAAACGCATAAAATTTTCCTACAGCTTTGGATGTTTTTATGTTGACACCATATTTTCTCCTTTGGTTTCAACTAGGAGTAACTGACATCTCTAGCTCCAGACCACTCCCTGAGCTAGACTCATAGATCCAACTGCCTTTAGAACATGTAATCTGGATGTCTAACAGATACCTCAATTCAACATGGTCCAATCAACTCCTTCTCATCGTCCTCCTCTCCCTCCTCCAGTATCTCCTATCTTGGTGAAAACTGCTGCCCTCTATCCAGTCATTCAAGACTGAAACTTGCATGTCATCTTTGACTCCTCCCTCATTCAGTTCTCTTCTGTTCTAGATGAAAGTTCATTACTTTCTGTTCACCTTTTCTACCTGGTGAATTTCTCGAAGACAGTGCACATGCTTGGAATCCCTTGTATCCCCAGCGCTTCACACAATGAAGAATACTTACTAGGTTTTTCATGAATATTTGCTGAGTGAATAAAGGAATAAACAAACTGACCAGTGGATTCAATTAAAATATTTGCACATCCCTTACTCCTCCTCCTCTTGGCTTGACATCATTATTTTCAAGGATAAGCTGAGGCTTCTATCTGTTCCTTAAAAGCAATTAAATTACTCCATTTGGGCTTCTAAATAGGAAATATCTATACCTGAGATAAACAGCATGTGAATGAATGTCCAATATGGTAGCCACTAACCACGTGTAGATAAATTAAAATCAAAATTAAATAAAATTTAAAATTTAGTTCTTCAGTCATAGCAGCCACATTTCAAATGTTCAGTAGCTACATGTGGCTAGTGGCTGCTGTATTAAGAGTAGCTTAAAGAGCATTTATGTCATCATTGAAAGTTCCAGTTGGCAGTGCTGTATCAAAGGATTCAGTGAGTTGTACTGGACAAGACGCTGACAATGAAACATTGTGAGACTGCTATATTATGCTTTAAGTCCACCGGCTTGAGTATAGAGAAAGTAAAATAAAGAAAAGTTTTCGAAATTCTTCTGTAAATTTATATTTCATGCTTCTCTATAAGTCAATATAGATGGCAAATATTTAACTTAGAATGTACAAGTAACAAATAAGTACATACATCGTTAATGAAAAGCTGCAGGAGTATTTCATACCTAACTAGTCCATGCATGTAAATAATAAATTCAGGCTCAGGATATGATGTGCAACAGGTTTGCAGTTACACTCATTACTGGCCTTTTGTTAGGAACAGATACAAACAGAACTTTCTTTTTCCAAATTGCATCAGTTAACTTTCAAAAAAAAAAAAGAACATATCAAAAAACTTTTTGCTAGTTATATTTATATCGAAGGACACCTTCTAATTTTACAAAGTACCTCTGTCTCATTATGTAAAATCTCAAAATGTTATTCTTCAATTGGGCCCTTAATGTTTTTTACTCTCTCTGCATTTTAAATCTTTTCCCAAGAATTGATATTCATTGGTAAAGTACTCAGCATGGATGAATTACTTTAATGAAAGGTTATTTTTAGCTGAAAAAAAGCATCTACTTCTACTTGCTATATAAATGAAACTGTAGATATGAAAAAGATATCAAACCAATACTGTCCTTTCATATGTCAATGAAGTACAAACTAAGGTGTTTTTTGAACAGTTGTGGCAGAGAGTCAAGAAACTGATGACAGTAAAAATATAATCCTAAATACCTCTCCTTGTTTAACTCACAGCTGAGATGATCTAATGTGAAGTGATGGAAGGAAGAAAAACCAGATTTTCCTCTTGGTTATAGGTTGTGACCAAAGTTTAAGGAGCTAATTTTTAAGATTACTCTAGCTAAAGCTAGTCCATAGGTTAACAGAGGAAGCCCACTACCACCCCATTTGAAACGTAAATTCTTGGATCAAGTTGCAGGCATCCTTTCCTCCACGACTAACTGCATCTCAGCCATCTCTGACAAGTGGATTAGTTAGTACCAGCATCTCCAGAACCTACCTACCCTCAAGAGTTGCTATATTCTTATATGGTTCACTAGGGATCATACCTAAAACAGCCTCCTATTTTCCCTAGGCCACACCATTGTGTCCAGCATTACAGAGCTGAAATGGAAGGTAGACAGAATTTGGGGTGTTTAAAGTGAGATTCATAATACATATCTTGTAGAGTTCTTGTAAAGAGAAAATAATATTTGGAAAAAGTGCTCTGTAATCTGTACAGTCCAACGCGATCATCTCAAGTGCCCTCATTAACCATTCTTCTTTGACAGTTCCAATCCTCTAAGTATCTTCTCCACTTAAATATATGATTTGAGATGTATAATACTGTGATTTGCTTTTAAATGGTTCTTTTGCGATTTTAATGCCCTCTCCTGTAAAATGTCTTCCTCGAAGATGAGTTCTGCATACACTATCATTTCTCTATTCCTTCAGAGCCAAGTAACAAACTCTCCAGTGTTGAAATAAGTATTCTGGGGAACCAAGATTTGCTATTGTTATAGATCACCTAGACCAATATGCTCTGTGTTTGGGGGCGGGGGCAGGTGAGAGGAGTATTGTATGGCTACAAGGCTCAGCATACAATGCACGCTTGTAAATACCCCATTGAATGAATTTGCAAACTGATCCCTCCTGTTAATAAAAAAAAAAATCACAGGTCCCAAATGGTGTCACTCATGGTAAAATCCCATGATACAAAACCCAGATTTAATATCTGATCTAACT